GTGGAGGAGGGTGCTTGGTGGCCACACTGCACGGGTCTGAAACAGTGTCTGTGATGACTGTGGAGGAGGGTGCTTGGTGGCCACACTGCACGGGTCTGAAACAGTCTCCCTGCGATGACTGTGGAGGAGGGTGCTTGGTGGCCACACTGCACGGGTCTGAAACAGTCTCCCTGTGATGACTGTGGAGGAGGGTGCTTGGTGGCCACACTGCGCGGGTCTGAAACAGTCTGCCTGCACATGCTGCACATTTCTGTCTTGTGTTTGTTTCGTGGTGCCTACAGCAAGCCTTTGTCCAGGCGGGTGGGAGGACACAGTGTAGACGCCAGCAGCTTTCTTGGCCGGCTCTTCTGTGGCCCCTAAGACCTGGCAGGATTGCTCTGTGTGCTGGGCTGGCGCTCAGATGGTGACCAGGCCTGCTGCTCCTGCTTTCGGGCCATGAGGCCAGGGCCTGGCTGAGAGGAGGGCCACTTTGGGTTGGGGCCTCTCTGTCCCAGAAGCCTCTATGGAGGGCACTTCCCAAGGGAGCGGTTGCTGTGGGGTTTCGTCTAGAGTGGCTAAAGCTGTGGATGCCCATGGTGGCGCTTGTTTTTGGCCACACCGGGACTTGACTGAGGTCCCCTCCCTGGCCTGGGAAGCTGTGGCTTGCCCTAGAGCACTGGAATTTTCCATCTGATCTGGGCCTATGACTTTGATCGACAGATGAATTGTGGTATCTGGATTTTGCTCATTTTTGAAAAATTTTTTTTTTTTTTGTAACCAAGCTGTAGATGCAGAGACAAAACCAGATCCGACTCGAGCTGACTGACAGGAAAGTGAAGGCTGAGCAGGACTTTGGAAATGATTTGACCCAAGCCCTCGATTTTGCTGATGGGAAAGCTGAGGCCCATCGTGGACAGGTGGCCTGTCTAGGGTCATGCAGCACTGTGAATAGGGTCAGGGCTGCTCACATTCCGCTCACTGGCCCAACCCGCGGTGTGTTCAGGCGAGTCCTGTGCTGGGGGCCTGGAGGAGCGGTAGTGACAGCAGGTGCTCTCTGAGGTCTCACTCAGGCCTGGCACTGGGCCAAGCCTCAAAACAGCCTGGGAGGCAGGCCGAGCACTAACTGCCTTTTGCAGGTGAGGACACTGAGGCCACAGAGGTGCAGTTCCTTGCTCGAGGTCACACAGCTGGGAGGTGTCCGAGCCGATGGTCTCTAGGCTCCAACGTGAGGCTGACTGCTCGACCTGCAGCCCTCGAGTCAGTCTTGGGCCTCACGTTAGTTTACATTCTTAAAAAGTGTGCTTGGGAAGGACGTGTTAAAGTGCAGACGGCCTGAGACAGGCTCTCTGCTTCTGTACTTGCGGAGTCCTCGTGGATGAACTGTAACCTGGCTTAGTAGGTAGACAGACCGAAAACCTCACCTGGGAGTGGGCTTCTGTAACCATCGCTGGGTCCCAGGCAATCCCAGCAGCCACACGTCAACCACGTACAGCAGCCCACTGTTCAAATTGTGTCCAAATAAGGTGAACGCCACGCTGTAACCAACCCGGCCGTGTCTGTGCGTTACTTATATTTTCTGTGTGTCGCTTTTCCTTTTTGTCTATAAATTTGCTCTGGCCACAAGGCATCCTTGGAGTTTCTCTGAATCTGCTGTGATTCTGCGGGCTGCCTCATTTGCAAATGTTTTTTAAAACTGCTCAAACTCTGTGAAAATTCAATTTGTCTATAGTTTTAAGAGATTGAAGGGCTGCAACAAAGGTTAGAGAGACACAGAGAATAAACACATGTCCATGAAGAGCACCCCAGACAGGGAGACACAGTTGTCCTCTGGAAGACCCATGGCTGATGCTGGCCCTGCCAGCCTGAGGCCCAAGGGGACCCTGGGCGTGGAGGGATTTCTGCATGTAGGGGCTGACCCGGAGTTTCTGCCATGTGCTTGTTGGTGAAGGGCTGAGACCAGGTGCAAGGGCCAAGGGCTTTCTGCTGCCGTTGGGACCCGTGAACCCGAGGCACTCAGACAGAACGTTTGCGGGTCTTTGAGAGGCGTCTCTCAAATGGTGAATGGGCAGACCCGATGGGCGTTGATTTAAGACACATTCCCTGTAGCAGGGCCTGATGGGGATGGCCATCTATCACCTCTGCAGGGAACTTTCCACAGCAAGCACGTATCTTCAAGCAGGGAAACTGCGCTCCCTGACAATGTGTGACCAGGAAGACATTTGTTCCAGGCTGAGAAAGTACCCTGCCATGAACCTCCCGCAGAATCACGGCTGTGTAGCAAGCTCCCCATCACAAGGTGTATCTTTTTAATTATGTGATGTTTCCAGTAACTCTGGCTGGGCTGCCAGCCCTCATCAGCTGTGACCACACAGGTGGGGGTGCAGTGAATGGAAGGGGCCCCCTCCCAAAGCCTGTTAGTGCAAGGAACACAGTGGTGTCCCCATCGCAGCCCCAGCCCATCCCTGTGGGCAGGATGATGGTGGTCACAAGGCACACATTTGGGTAAAACTCGGTCCTGCGGCCAATAGTCACAGCAGAAAAGCATCCCTGCACTGGAGGAGGAGGATGCCTCTGTTAGGCTGAGTCTGGAGGCATCACAGATGCTGGCAGGTGAACGGAAGACTGGTCCTGGTCAGCCCCGTGGAGTTCAAGCTCTGATGGCACAGAGGGGCTCACGGTTTGAGGGTCGGCCTGAGCATCCCAAGTCAATGAAGGCATGGGCACAGACACGAGACTCAGCTAATTGTCTCACCAACCCCCACGCACCAGTTGGCTTTTGTTGCTCCATCTTGATTTTAGGATGTGTGTGTCTAACATGTGTGTGTGTGAGTGTGTCTGTATAGGTAACTGTGTAAATGCATATGTATGTGTGTGTGAGTGTGTGTGTAGGTAACTGTGTAAATGCATGTGTATGTGTGAGTGTGTGTAGGTAACTCTGTAAATGCGTATGTATGTGTGTGTGTGTAGGTAACTGTGTAAATGCATGTGTATGTGTGAGTGTGTGTATAGGTAACTGTGTAAATGCATATGTATGTGTGTGTGTGTAGGTAACTGTGTAAATGCATATGTATGAGTGTGTGTAGGTAACTGTGTAAATGCATATGTATGTGTGTGTGAGTGTGTGTGTAGGTAACTGTGTAAATGCATGTGTATGTGTGAGTGTGTGTGTAGGTAACTCTAAATGCATATGTATGTGTGTGTGTGTAGGTAACTGTGTAAATGCATATGTATGTGTGTGTAGGTAACTGTGTGTAAATGCATATGTATGTGTATAGGTAACTGTGTAAATGCATATGTATGTGTGTGTGAGTGTGTGTGTAGGTAACTGTGTAAATGCATGTGTATGTGTGAGTGTGTGTGTAGGTAACTCTAAATGCATATGTGTGTGTGTGTAGGTAACTGTGTAAATGCATATGTATGTGTGTGTAGGTAACTGTGTGTAAATGCATATGTATGTGTGTAGGTAACTGTGTAAATGCATATGTATGTGTGTGTGAGTGTGTGTGTAGGTAACTGTGTAAATGCATATGTATGTGTGTGTGAGTGTGTAGGTAACTGTGTGTAAATGCATATGTATGTGTGTGTGTGTGTGTAGGTAACTGTGTAAATGCATATGTATGTGTGTGTGAGTGTGTGTAGGTAACTGTGTAAATGCATATGTATGTGTGTGTGAGTGTGTGTGTAGGTAACTGTGTAAATGCATATGTATGTGTGTGTGAGTGTGTGTAGGTAACTGTGTAAATGCATATGTATGTGTGTGTGAGTGTGTGTGTAGGTAACTGTGTAAATGCATATGTATGTGTGAGTGTGTGTGTAGGTAACTGTGTAAATGCATATGTATGTGTGAGTGTGTGTGTAGGTAACTGTGTAAATGCATATGTATGTGTGTGTGAGTGTGTGTGTAGGTAACTGTGTGTAAATGCATATGTATGTGTGTGTGTAGGTAACTGTGTAAATGCATATGTATGTGTGTGTGAGTGTGTGTGTAGGTAACTGTGTGTAAATGCATATGTATGTGTATGTTAAGTTGAAGATTCAACCATGTTGACCTATGACAATAGCAGTTGCTTATGGTTCCATCTACGATGTCTGCGTGTATGTGTGTATGTTTTGTATTACATTTTAGAAACAATTTTTTTCTGAATGTAGAATATGATAAATCTTGGGTGAGAATATGGAGCTGGAGAAAGGTGTGAAGAAGCCAAGGTTCCCCTGGGATCCCAGCACATGTGGCGGCCCCCTTTGCTTTTGGTGTGAGTTTGACTCATACATTCACATAAGGCGGGGATGGACTCCCCCATTCGCCACTGCTCTGCATCCCTGGCAGTCCAGAGTCTTCATGCCCCACACACAAAGCCTGCAGGAGTCATTCCCAAACCCCCTGCCCATACTTCTCCACTTCTCTCTGCCCTCCTTGGGGCCCCTGAAGCCCAGCCTCTGAGGATGGCATCTCCTGGGCTCTGGTCTGTCACTGGAGGGGTTTAGGTTGGGCTCAGAGTTTATGTGGAGGCCAGCTGGATGATGGGGGCAGGAAGAGAGTGTGGGGTGTGTTTTTACCTGCCCCCCTGTGCTGCGGTGCCAGCCTCCCCTGGCAGCCCTTCCTTCTCACGGCTGGATTTCCCTGCACTGCTGGACATGCTCTTCCTTTGGCTCTTGGCTTTTCTGCCTTGGGAGGCAGTGGCCAGCCTCTGGGGTTGTCTCCATCCCAGTCCGTGGTGTGACAGGTCTCCCACCGGGTTATGTAAGGGCGATGTCCACTGCCTGAACCCTGAAGGCCCCACAGTGACCAAGGTCATGGTGCCCGGCCCAGGAGCAGGTGTCCCTGAGAAACCAAACAGCCTAGAGAGGATCTGAGAACCTACCAAGAAAAACAGTCTCATCATTCAAACACAGGAGGCAAAGGGCCAGAAAATTAGTTTAAAGGCAGCTTAGAGATGGAAGGCAGTGCTGGTCTCCAGAGCAGTCCTGTTGTCACCCAGGAGTGCCCCAAGGTAAGTCCCATAAACAACGTGTCTACTCACCAGGCTGGACTTTTCCCGTCATTCTTTGGTTTCTGAGCATCTTTCCAGTTTAGGGGGAGGATGTTACACTTCCAAGTTTCTCTCGTAACACAGTTGTGCTTTGATTAGTGACTCTTCCTCTAGACCTTGTAGGGTGAGTTCTGTCCCCTGTGGGTCGTGACTGGCACAGCGACTCACAGATCTCAGCTCATTCGGCCATCACGGTTAGTTCACGGTGCCATGGAAATGTTCCTGTTGCTTGTGCTGTGTTACGGTGTAGCTAACACCTGATCAGGGCTTGCTCTGCCAGGGGCCAGGGTAGGATGTGCTGTCCACCCAGCGATGTGGTTTTGACCGGACCCAGGCGGTCTTCTCTGGCAGGGTCTGCAGCCCTGCCCCAGGCACCTGGAGATGCTTGTGTGGCCTTCTGTCCTCTGAAAGGCCAGACCCAGGTGGCTGGCATCCAGATTTCATACAAAAGGATTATGTATCCAACAACTTCCTGGAATCCTCTCACCCTGGAGGGGCGCTCTCTGGCCATTCTCTAAAAGCCCAAAGCCACTCATCTGTGAGTCAGGCCTGCTGCTGCTGCCGGTACTGGTGTCCTCGTTTCATGGAGAATTACAGCGAAGCACTCAAAGTCACACATTTTATAAATAGTCAAAGTGTAATTTGCAACCAGGTAATTTACATTTTATGTCTTTTCAAAAAGACACTAGAGTGCCAATTATATAATTGTCTCCAACTTGCTCTGATTCTCCCTGTCCCCTGGGTCCTGTGTCCCATGTGACTGCAAAATCACCATGGTCTCATTATGCAACAGGGCAGCACCTACAGGGAACTGTTTACCCCTCCCTGTCTTCCTGGGAACCTGCTGTAGCCATTTACAAAGATTCCAGAGCACAGGGGCGTCTAATGCGCTATCAAACCTACCTTTTTCTCTTTTTGAGACGGAGTCTTGCTCTGTAGCCAGGCTGGAGTGCCGTGGTGTGATCTCTGCTCACTGCAACCTCCATTTCCCAGGTTCAAGTGATTCTCCTGTCTCAGCCTCCTGAGTAGATGGGACTACAGGCACGCGCCACCATGCCCGGCTAATTTTTGTATTTTTAGTGGAGATGGGGTTTCACCCTGTTGGCCAGGATGGTCTCAATCTCTTGACCTCATGATCTGCCTGCCTCGGCCTCCCAAAGTGTTGGGCTTATAGGCATGAGCCACCGTGTTTGGCCACCCCCTCCCCCCCCACCCCCGCTTTTTAAAAAAAATGCAGCTGATTTAATCATTTGGATTAAAACAAACACAAAACTAAGCAGTCTACCAGGTTGCTTTATTGAATAATGTCGGCACCAGTTCCTTGTGTGAACCTGGGGAGGGGTGGGCAGGGCTGAGTGGGGGCTGGCTGAGTGGGGGCTGAGTGGGGGCTGAGTGGGGCCTGAGTGGGGGCTGAGTGGGGGCTGGCTGAGTGGGGGCTGAGTGGGGGCTGAGTGGGGCCTGAGTGGGGGCTGAGTGGGGGCTGGCTGAGTGGGGGCTGAGTGGGGGCTGAGTGGGGGCTGGCTGAGTGGGGGCTGGCTGAGTGGGGGCTGAGTGGGGGCTGAGTGGGGGCTGGCTGAGTGGGGGCTGAGTGGGGGCTGGCTGAGTGGGGGCTGGCTGAGTGGGGGCTGGCTGAGTGGGGGCTGAGTGGGGGCTGGCTGAGTGGGGGCTGAGTGGGGGCTGAGTGGGGGCTGGCTGAGTGGGGGCTGGCTGAGTGGGGGCTGAGTGGGGGCTGGCTGAGTGGGGGCTGAGTGGGGGCTGAGTGGGGGCTGAGTGGGGGCGGGCAGGGCTGAGTGGGGGCTGAGTGGGGGCTGAGTGGGGGAACCGAGAGTTATTTTTTGGTTATTGTTAGGGAAGGAAGTGGGAGTGGTTCTCAACAAAACCAGACTTGGAAAACCTCCCAAGTATGCTAAAACGTGTATGCTTTTTCAAAGTAAACTTTTCATTTTGGAATAATCTTACATTTACAGAAAGATTGCAAAGATGGTACTGAAAGTATCATGTGCCTCTTTCCCTGTTTCCCCTGATGTTACATCTTCTCCCTGGATGTTGGCACATTCTGATGAGCTGTGCTCCAGGTTTAATCTGGGTTTCACTAGCTGGTTTTTTCTTCCAGGATCCAATTCAGTTTCCTCGGGTCTGTCACAGTTCATCAGACTTTGCTTGTCTTCACTGAGCTCAGTAGTTCTGAGCACTGGCCATGGATTCACAGACTCTCCCTCCATTTTTCGTTGTTTTGTTTTGTTTTTTGGAAGAAGATCACGGAGGTGAAATGTCCTCTTCATCACCTCCTTCATCATGGAGGTGAAATGCCAGAGGGTCTGTACTCTCAACATGACTCATCCCTGGGGATAGTGACCTTGACACTTATTCAAGGTCGCGTTGGCCAGGTTTCTCCACTGTCCAGTCACTTCCTCCCGAGGCAGAATCTATCCTTTGGAAGCAAGCGATTGAGCTCAGCCGTTGCTCAGAGTCGAGAGGGGAGGTAAGCTCCACTCCCTGGAGAGGAAAACAGCTGCGTAAATTATTAACAATTCTTCTGTAAAGAGGATCTCTCTTCTTCCCATTTATTTATTTATTCATCCATTTATCATGCATTTATTTATATCACTAGGGACTCATGCATATTTATTTGCTACTTTTGGTTGTGATTCAGTCCTGTGTTATTTATTTTGTTGCTCACATTGTTCCAGCTTTGGCTGTTGGATGGATGGTCTTCAGATCGGCTCCTGGCCCTTTGCTGTCTCTGTCCTTGTGTTCTTTAAAGCACTTCCTTACTTTCTGGCACCAGAAGAGGCTCCATGCCCATCTTATATCTTCTCCGTCCTGACCCGAGAATCAGCCATTTCTCCAAGCAGTCCCAGCTCCTGTGATTGAAGAATGGCATTTAGGAAACAGCATGTGTGTCGGCTGCTGTAGCCTCTAGGTGCCCTCTGTGTCTAGAGTGAGAACAACCTGAGTCCGTGCTGATGTTTCACCTCTAATCCAGGGGTGCACGGCCCATCCCGGCACTCTCCGTGCTTATCTGTCACTGTCCTCTCTGCCAGTGAGGACCTGGCTGCCACCACCCACCATTCTTTTACTTGTTTATTCCATGTCACATACACGTAAAGCAGATTGAGATTTTTCAGCCCAGCTCCCAGGAAACAACTTCTCCAAGGAGGTTATCTGTGGCTGCTTTTCTCTGCAGCCTTACAGCTTCCAGTCAAAACACCATTTTCAAAAGCGCCTTAGGCCTGCTGCACTTCCTCCGACAGCTTCTGCTGTGTGCTTTCAAGAGTTTCCCCTATAGGGCCAGCCGTGGCGGATCACGTCTGTAATCCCAGCACTCTGGGAGTCAGAGGTGGGCAGATCATGAGGTCAGGAGTGTGAGACTAGCCTGGCCAACATGGTGAGTCCCCGTCTCTATTAAAAATACAAAAAAAAATTAGCTCTGCATGGTGGTGCACTCCTGTAATCCCAGCTACTTAGGAGGCTGAGGCTTGAACCCAGGCGGCGGAGGTTTGCAGTGAGCCGAGATCGTGCCGTTGCACTCCAACCTGGATGACAGAGGTAGACTCTGTCTCAAAAAAAAAAAAGGAATTTTCCTCACTTGCCCCAGTTTGCATTCCTTCCTGGACCTTCTGTCTTCTAGGCTGGCAGAGAGAAGATCTGCCAGATTTTGTTGTAAAGCCTGTGTGTGTGAACCTTCACTCTTCGAGATGCACAGGGTTGTGTGTTTTGAGAACTGCCTAGAGTCGGGCCTCCACCGGGCGAGTTCTGCACAGAGTTCCGTGCCCTTGGAATTCTGCCCTAGGTTCTCTTTGCAGTAGCCACGCTGCCCTTTGCCAGCACAGACGTGCTTCCCGTCCCCTCCTGATGCCACATGGGTGGGATCTACATGATGAGGACGGAGCCTTGCTGGGCTGGCTCTTTCCACTTAGACCTGCCCTGTTGCCGCATGAGCTCATAGCCTGGCCCTTTGGAGCCCCGGCAGTATTCCGTGGCATGGATGTGCCAGTGTTTACCCGTTCCCAGACTGAAGGACATCTTGCTTGCCACCAGTTTCTGGCAGTAATGAATAAAGCTGCTATAAACATTGGACAGGTTTCCATGTGAAAAAAAGTCTTAAGTTCTCTGGGATAAGTGAGTCCAGTCTGGGACTGTGACTTGCATGAACTATGGGGGCTTCCAGATCTTTGGGGGACATTCTGAGGCAGAAAAGAAGAGCGTTGAGTTGGAGAGGACACCCCTCGCAACACTGCCCCGCTTGGCTTCCCTGGTCCTGAGTGAGCAGAGGGTTGTGCAGGGCTGTGGGGGTTTGCCCCTCCAGAGGAGCCTGGAAGGCCTCTCCCATGGACTGGCCTTTGAAGGAATCAGAATGGACACAGGAGGTGACCACAGCGATGTGGTGTGAAGGAGCTGATTCTCCCAAGGGAATGACACAAGAGGAGCCAGCAGTGAGACCATCAGTGACGACAGCCAGCATATGGCACCATCACTCTCCATGTGCTACTTAATGGCCCAGCAACTCTCTGCATGGGTGGGATGAGCCTCATAGTTCTGCTGAGGAAACCGAGGCAGGCACAGGGGTAGTTACCCACAGAAGGGCTCACTGCTGGTGAAGGTAGGGCTGGTATCTGAGCTGGCAACTGGGCTCTGATGTTCATACCCATATGCACCACATACCACTGTCTGTCCTGGCCGGGGTGTCAGGGTTGGGCATTGAGAAGTTTGCAAAGGCAGTGGGAAGCCATGGGGACATTTTAATTAGAGGAGTGACCTATTGGCTGTGTCTTTCAGAAAGGCCACCCTGGCTCTGGAGGATTGGAGGTGCAGGCTGACTATCTGGGGCAGGGGCTGTAGCTGTCCACTTAGGGATCAGAGCTGTGACAGCAGGGGAGGAAGGAAGATGGGCTCAGTTACGGCGTGGGCAGTCTGTGGCAGGAGTGGGTGGCTAAGTACCTGTGGGAGGGAACAAGTGTCATCTGGAAGGACTCTAAGGCTCTTGCTAAGAGACATGTCCATTCTCTAAGGTGGTCAATGGTGGGGAGATGGGTTTGGCTTGGGGTAGGAGTTTCCTGGGGCTGCCATAGCAAAGGACCACAGCCTGGGTGACTTCAGCACAGGACCACAGCCTGGGTGACTTCAACACAGGACCACAGCCTGGATGACTTCAACACAGGACCACAGCCTGGGTGACTTCAACACAGGACCACAGACTGAGTGACTTCAACACAGGACAACAGCCTGGGTGACTTCAACACAGGACCACAGCCTGGGTGACTTCAGCATAGGACCGCAGCCTGGGTGACTTCAGCACAGGACCGCAGCCTGGGTGCCTTCAGCCGTGGAGATTTCTTCCCCCGAGTTCTGAAGGATGGAAGTCTTATTGGACTAGGGGCTCACCCTAATGAACTCATCTAGTTTTGACCGTCTTTTTAAAGATCCTGTTTCCAAATGCAGTCCCAAATCGAGGTACTCGGGGCTAGGGTTTTGACATGTAAAATTTGGGGGGACAAAGTTAAGCCCAT